ACCCTTAACATAACTGAAGACATTCTTAATAGCCTTTTGTATTTCCAAATATTCGCGACGGTAATATTTTGCCCTAATCTTCTTTTGAATCAATACACTTGCTTGATGCATTTTTTCAGATCTCAACTTTTCTAGATAAGCAACCATACCAGCTTTAAAAAAGATTTTAGTATTACCAATTTGGTATTTTTCTTTACCATCGATTGTGGCATCCAGTATTTTCCCACATAGGTCTACAATGTCTTCTTCAGTTGTATCCTGTTGGAAAATTTTTGACCATTCATTTGGTGAAATCAAAATATAATATCTTAAAAATAAATTCATAGAACGTCCACCTTGATGGGAAACCGGCACATGAAATTCTAATGGTTTCTAAAACACCACATGCTCTCAATTGAGAAAGAACCATCAAATTGTCAAATTTCCAAGCTTCCTTTTCATTGTTCGGTTTAATACAACGAATATAGTGAACATTTGTTGAATTTATAGTTTGCATCAATTCAATCAAAGATTGTTTGAACATAGAACCTAATGTTGGTTTCTTTTGTACAGTTCTTGCAGGACCACCAATTTTTGGCTTAGCTTCTAGTTTGGCTTTTTTAGCTTCTTCTAGTTTTTCAGCAGCCATTTCCAAGGTATCTAAAATGTTTTTTAAAGTCTCATTAGTAGTAGCTTTTAATACCTCCAAATGTCCATCAGACACAGTATCTCTATTTTTTTCAATAAAACCTTCAACATCATATTCGACATTAAGGGCATAATGAGAAACAATAAATTTAGTTTGACCGAATCTTGGCTTTGAAAAGACCTTATTGGTTGGTTTTTTATCCAAAGTTTGATACAACTTTTGGGTCCACGATTCATCAGAACCTGCTGGTAATCTACTTTCTTCGTCTAATAACGATAAAATACCAAGCTTATTTTCAATAAGATCGATACAAGGCTGATTATCGTTGAATTCGATAAAAGACCATTCAATTTCTTCTTTAATATATTCTTCTTGTTCCAATTTAAAAACATGCTGGTTAAATTCTTGTTGAAGTTTTTCATTTGCATAATTAATACAAAATTGTTCAAAAGAATTCTTTTCGAAATGTTCAAACCCATAAATATCCAGTACACCAATGAATGATTTAATTTGATCTGTTACTTCAGGGTTACATAAGACGGTATTAATATTTTCTACTAACCAGTCAAATAATGCCGAATAGATAAATTTCGCAACTGAATCTCTTGAAACAATAGCTTGGCTGTAGTTTAAATTTGATGTAATTGTTTCTGAACGTAAAGTTATTTGTTTCTTGGTTACCCATTTTGCAAAATTATAAGGATCAATTCCTAATAATTCACAGGCAATTTTCAAATTTGGTTCATCTGATGATAAAGAGGCGTTATTAGAAGTTTTCTTGATGTCTATGTTACCGATATGCAACAAAGCGGCTAAAATTTTAAACAATTCTTGTTGTACATCTGGGTTGACACCGACCAAAGTCAATGCATCTACTGTAATTTGGTATTCCTTTGCATCATCTACGCCTTCGATTTCGGTTGGGCCACCTTGGTTCATATAAAAGAAATCTGAAGCTTGTGATAAATGCAATTCAGATTTTTTTTCATCTGATAACCCAGATAACAATTGATAAAAGATATGATAATTCCTTTCAGTTTGTGGCTGGTATACTAATCTTGATCTTTCCAATAGGTAAGTTCTCATTCTTGCACCGATAATCGAAGTATTTTTATCGAATAAAATTTCCAAATATTTACCGAATCTTGAAGAGTTATCATTTCTTGTAGTTTTTGCATTACCAAAGGCTTCCATGATTGGATTTGTTGCTAATATTCTTTCTTCAGTTTCTGACATTTGAACTTGATGCTGATGGTCATCTATAGAGGCTGAATGTTCTTCTTCTACAGAAGCGAAATATCTCATAATGTACTTTGCGGAGACGGTTTTACCTGCACCTGATTCACCAGAAACGACTATAGTTTGATTCTTCTTATCGTTCTTCATTAATCTATAAGCTTCTTCGGCTATGGCGAAAAGATGTGGTTCCATTTCACCTCTACGTTTCCCAGCGTAAGCTTGGATCATTTCTTGTGAATATAGTTGATCCACTCTATCGAAAGGGTTTGTTGCTATCAGGACGATACCTGAATAAGTATAGATATTTAATTGAGAATAACGTTGTTTAATTGCATGTAAAACCGCTGGTTCGTTTAGATAAGAAAGGGTTGTCAAATCTTCAGTAGCTTCCAAGATAGGAGGGTTTCTTAATAGAGGTAATTTTTGGGAATTCTTATCGTTATTATTATTGTTATTAGTATTTGATATTATTAAAGAACCCGATTCATCTATATCATCAGATTTTAGACTATTAGTTTCGATGTTTACTATTTCACCGTTTTCTAAAGAGATTTCGATTTTATAAATACCATCAGATAAAACATTTTTAGTGATTTCCCCACCTATCCAACCTTGGTCATCATTTGGGTACCAACAACGAGTACCAACTTCAAAAGACATGGTAATTATTGTGTTTTGGAAAAAGAGAGGAATTCTAATTTTATTTCTGTATTGTTATTGCTATCGGTACTGTTCTTGATCGTGATATTAAACAGTGTTATTAAGAACAAAAGATAAACTTGTTTATTTTATATGTTATCCGATTGCAAATATAAAGCAAAACAGTTTTAAAATATCCAATCTTATATTATGATATATAGAGAATGGAAATGGAAATGGGAAAAAAAACAGACAACAATATGTTTTCTTTGCAAAACAAGTATTGATCTTTCCTTCTTCGTTTCCCTCTTGCTATCTGTCTTTCTTTCTATCTTGTATTGAAATGATTATAATAGTAAGATAAGAGTATCTGAATAACTAAACAACAATTAATAGTAGTTTGCTATAATATACTAAATATTTTGTAAAATACTATAATCGTGAAAAGAAAGAAGACGAAGAATACAGGATTAAATCAAATTCAAATCAAACTAATAAAGTTATCAAACGTGAGTTGAATAAGAACAAAGACGCCAAACAATTTTTTAAAATGTTGTACTCTTTTTAGATTTTTTAAGATATTTTTTAATTTTTAATTTTTAGTTCGAACAAGATCAAAATGAAATATTGTAACTTATGTGGTCCCTTGTGAAAATAGTACTGATGGACAAGTAAGCTATGCAACTAGTGAGATAAGATAAGATGGAAGGAAACAAACCGAATCAAGTTGGATCGAATCGAAACGAAACGAATCGAAACGAAATAAAATAAAGTAAAAGTTTCGTGTTTTCAGTATTAGATCAAATCAAATCAAATCAAAGTTTGGCAGGAGATTAAAGGGCAAGAGATTTCGTTAATGAGAACATAGCGTAACGTAACGTAACGTAAAGGTAGCCAAATACTAGTAACAAACAGTGGTACTTACAAAATTGTAGTCAAAAAACAAAAAACAAAAAACAAAAAGTTGGGTAATTTCAATTTCAATTTCAATTTCAATTTCAATTTCAATTTCAATTTCAAGTTTGACTTTGATTTCGGTTTCGATTTCGATTTCGATTCGATTCGAAATTGAAATTTTGGTGTTTTTTATGATTTTTCTTTTTTCTTTGGTCCGGTCCGGTCCAGTGTGGACTAACAGGGTATGGTTTGTCGTATTATATGAGTACTTCAAGTGCGAAAGCAAGAGAATATGAGTGAGTGCATATATCTTTGCCTTTTTTTTCTTTTGGGGGCAGGGGGGCACAGAGACAAACGTGCATGTGGACAGCTCACAGGGTTTCCGGGCCAAGCACACGCGTTTTAAAGATTAACGCGTTGTTTCCTCTTCTGGGGCGAAGGAGGGACGGGGGCAAGGGAGAGAACAGCGTAGGTATTTTGGGTAGGGTAAACGTGTCACGTGCGCGTCAGGGTAATAAGTACTGCATCATCACGTGAAACACATGAAAATTATATGTGTCCGGGTATATAAAATAACACGTGTACAATGATATGTATGTGGCAGAACAAGAAAGGTGACATAAGATGTTGTTCCCTTTCTGTTTCTTTTTCCAATTTTTTTGGGTTTGGTTCGGAAAGACCAACTAGCTTATGAATAACTACCGGAATCACACACATACACGCACCGACAGACACACAAACCTACAAATTCCATAGCCGTTTTGTTTCCAACTTTGACTGATTCAATCAATCAACCACTCGATTGATCGATTGATCCATCCAACTGTATTCACTCTCCTCTCCTACGATTAAACCATCCGTTCTGTACTTTATTTAAACCAGCATTGCCAGAAACGTCTGTCACTTCTCTCTTCTCTCTTCCCTCTTCTCTCTTCTCTCTTCTCTCTTGGTAATCGAACTCCCACCCCCCCCTGCTTGCCCAACCCCCCAGCCACTCCTACTTCTCCCACTCCCAACCTCCTCTCTCTCTATCATCCTCTTCTCACGTCCTTGTGGGTCCCCCTTTCTTAATTTACACACACATTTTTGCTCTCTTCTATATTTCATATTCCATATTTCGAAAACATAATAATTGCAGCAATAGCAATAGCAATAACAGCTGCAGTACTGAACTAACTGTCATTTATTTTTTCTTCTGTCATCATCCATCCCTCTCAAGACAAGTATGCACTACAATTACTCAAGTTACCACATATTGTCTGAACTAATTTCGATTTAATTTAGATGCACTTAAATTGCCAATTACGTATTTTTGGATTAAATCTAATTGACTTGTTCCACCATTTTTATTCATTATTTATATATATTAATCACATTACCACAACAGCAATAAAACTTACACTACTCCCATCTACACTCTTATATGTGAACGTAAACTTACTGCTACATTTATTGTATAATAATATAATAATACAATAGCTTTTTTTATATATCTCAAACACTTGATAAAAATCATTTATACTATATTTATATTTCATCGATCAACTCCAAAGATTAGTTATAACACTGTCTGGGTATTATTAATGTTTATAAAAAAATGACAGAACAGACAGTTCCAGCTAAATTAAGCCTACCAAAAATTAGAATTATCGATCAAAATTCAAACTCTATTGATTTAAGTTCACCAACAGATAGTTCTCCTACAGACACCTCCCCTACTGACTCTTTAAATATTAAAGATGACGTTCATCTTATTTTAAACCATAAACGTCATAAACATCACCACCATCATCATCATCGAAACCATCGCAATGCTGATAATAACGACACTATTATATTTGATGAAAACGTATTCTCTGATTCAGATGATCCACTGAGTGAAAGTAACACTACTCAGGAGCAGATACCAAATATTAATTATACTTATGATACAAATTATTTTAAACCTGCTGATCCAATAAAAGAAGATGTCGGTGCTTCGAATACTGGGAAATTCAGTGATACTATGTTTAAAGAAACAAATCGTAGACGTAGTACAAGGAGGAAAAGTTCTATATCCTCGAGAAGACCAACTATTACATCCACAACTGCTGCCACTGTTGCTGCTGCTGCTGCATCGACATCAAAACCAAATGAAAACATACTCACAAAAGACTTGAATCCTGAGGATAATACTATGTTGAAGAAATTGGCAAATTTAGAAGATAATCGTAATATCCATGGTATTGAGGCAAAAGATTTTGGAAACTCGATGAATTTCAATAAAAAATCATTGGTTACCCAATTCTTAAAATCGTTTAATACCAGTCAGAAGCCTTTACCAACACAAGAATCAAGCAAATGCTTTTTAAATCTAGTTAAAAGAAGTTCAGCTGTTTCATCTCACAGTCATATCGCCCCAGTATCATCTTTACATTCAGACTATGCTGACGCTGAAATATTAGACATTATAAATTCAAAAAATTATCGTAGTGCTGATAAAGATGAAACATTAACCCAGTTAATGGTGGAGGATTTAGAATTAGATAGGTCAAAATCTCAGGATTCAACTATATCAAGAAGGTCAGATTTATCTCGTGAAGATTCGTATCTTTCTCATGCTTCATCTAGGACGTCAATTATGTCATCTGATAATGAAAGTGGTCTATATTTAATGGCATCAAGAAAATTAGGTAAACAAGGTTCGACTACCTCCAATTACGATGCTACTTCTGCTATCGAGAGATATACAAACTCGGTAAGAAGGAAAAGATCGAATACCATGGACCAAAATTATTGTGAACACCGTTTTAATTTATACCTGAACGAGTTGGATTATTTCAATGATCATATTGCTTCAGTACTACACGACGTCGAACATTTTTTAAAGAACATATTTAAGAACTGTCTTTTAACTTGTGAAGCTGACATAGAAGAAAGTACTGCTGACTTTGATTTCTTAAATAATAGTATTATCGAGTTCAAAAAACAATTGGAAGTACTTAGAGAAGTAACAGAAAAGGATTATAATGATCAATTAAATTGTACCTTAGACTCTAGCCATTTGTCGACAATAATATTAAAAATAAGAGACAGTATCCAAACGGATTTAAAACAATTAGAATTATTAGAAATAAAATTAAAAGATTATTCACAACAGTCAACAAAACAGAGAGAAAGACTACGTAAAATGGAACAAATTCAAAAAATACAAGCATCATTTATAGAAGAACAAAAGCAAAGAAACTTTTATTACAAGTATTCTTATGCTTTATATGATTTCACTTTTATTACTGCTATCGTGATAGTAGCCGCATTTTTATATTGTTTATTATGCAAATAACCAATATCGACGTAAATTTAACTAACGTATATAAAATTAATTATAAATATAGCAACATACACATAGATTTATATAATTAATTAACTAGAAAAGTTTTAATTTCCATTTAATTTATGGCATTGTCGTTATAATTATTATCAAGATGGGTAACGGCTAGTAGCTATCATTTCCGAAATGAGTATTTGATCAAAAGAATTGAGTACCCGTACTTAAAAGGCATCGATGATGAAATGAAGATACTTAACTTGAACATATGGGTTTTGAAATCGGTAATAATGCATTGGTGTTTTAAATATGACACTCAGTATAGCTAGAATCAAGATATCTGATAATATAATACTTCCATTAAGAGTTTTCATTAATAGGAAACAGTTGTTATATAATATCACCAATGAACCAATAATTCAAGCACCATTGTTATCTAATAATTCCATTGTATGCTTAAAATCACCAAACACAAGAATATTTGTTTCCAATAACGATCTAGAAAGCCTGTGTGATGAAATTAGAGATGATATATTATTGATAATCTATGAATTAACATCACAAGAGGTGATGAATCAAACTATTGGTAAACTACGAGTTGGCTATAATTTAGATTTTAAGAAATCAGTTATAAATAGATTTTTCAAAGATGACGATACTGGTGACTATTACATAGATTCGAATATATTAATGGTAACAAGAGTATCAAAATTGAAATATAAATTTAGATTCAAAAAGAATTGGGAAGTTGATATATTCATAAACAATATTAAAAAATTATCTGATTTGAGAGATTATCTTTTATTTAGGCATAATCCAAACCAAATGAGTTCACCATCAATACCAATCAATTCAGTTAAAAAAGTATTGATTATGGAGCCTGATGATTACCTGAACATTGAAACAGGTAAAGATCAAACCATGATTTTACAAGAAGATGAAAATGACAGCGGGATAATCGATCAACAATCGTCACAAGATGATGATTCAAAACCTATTATTCATTATAGGTATAAACCTACACTAAATCTAGCAGAATTAATCGATATACATGTATTGCAAAGACCAAGAAGGCATAAAATATAAACTTAAAAAGATGAATTGATTAGTCAGGTAAGCATAATTCAATTAAAGCATATAATGAACATGCAATAATGGCCCATGTTCTGGCACAGGATCATTGCTAGATGCCTCAATTCAATATGATGGATATTGAGAACTAGTACTATACCGATCAGTAGCCAGTTGATTCGGGTAACTACTGAGATGGAATTAATATTCACATACAATGATCAAATTATACAAGGGCTAAACCATGTGTCAGGATTAGTTGAAAGTACATTAAGTGATGTAACAAAAGGATAGCTTCTCTCATGTATCATTGAATTCCTAAAAACATAATTGGAAGGACAAATCAACTGGACAAAAAAGTTTAATTTGGTTTGAAATTATGACCCGTTGATTATTATTTCTAATTAACTAGCCAATGATAATGTAACCCAAACTACGTAACCTATGTAATTTAAACAACTTCGAAGTATCCTACTGTCAAAACCTTGACTACTCCTTCTTCCATCTGCAAAATTATTGTCCGTCTCATTAATTACGTCATAGCAATCTTACTATGGAAATTTGGAAAAAACTGGTAATGAGCAAGGAAACCTACATAATTTGTCATCTAACATTCTAAAAGAAAGCAAAGTTTAACATATAAAAGTTAAACTATACTTTAAAATGTTAAACTTTGGGCCATTATATCTAACTAAGAAGTCATTACTGTTGAAGATCATCCCCAATGTCATCGTCAGAAGAAATCGCTAAAAGTGCACGTAAGGCAGGTAATGTATTAAAGACCTTGTCTAATGAGCAACGTTCTGATATCCTATTCAAGATTCATGACGGTTTAAAAGCTAACAAAGATATTATAGAAAAAGCCAATAAGATTGATTTGCAAGTTGCTGAGGAAACAGGCTTGTCTTCCTCTTTAGTTAAGAGATTGGACTTGTTTAAAGGTGATAAATTCGAGTCAATGTTGGAAGGTATTAAAGATGTAGCTAATTTAGAAGATCCTGTAGGAGTTGTCAAAATGGCTAGAGAATTGGATGAAGGTTTAACTTTATATCAGTTGACTGCCCCAGTTGGTGTGATATTGGTTATTTTCGAATCTCGTCCTGAAGTTATTGCAAATATCACTGCTTTAAGTATTAAGTCAGGTAATGCCGGTATCTTAAAAGGTGGTAAAGAATCTGTAAACACATTCAGAGAAATGGCTAAAATTATTAATGCTATTATTGAGGAAAATGAAAGCATCACTGGTGTCCCAGTTGGATCTGTTCAATTGGTTGAAACCAGACAAGACATATCCGATTTATTGAATCAAGACGACTATATTGACTTGGTTGTTCCTCGTGGTTCAAATGCATTGGTTAAACAGATTAAATCATCTACCAAAATTCCTGTTTTAGGTCATGCTGATGGTATCTGCTCTGTATATATTGATGATAAAGCTGATCTAGAGAAGGCTAAAAGAATTTCTCTTGATGCTAAAACAAATTATCCAGCTGGATGTAACGCTATGGAAACTTTATTAATCAATCCACATTGCACTAACTGGTGTGATGTTATAAATAACTTGATTCTAAATGGTAAAGTTACTGTGCATCTAACCAAGGAAGTTAAGGACTCTTACTTCGATTGTTTAGCTAAGTCAAATCTATTGAATGATGAAATAAAATCCCACGTAGTTGACGTTGATGAAACAAAAGATTTTGATGGAGAATTCTTATCTTTAGACTGTGCAGTTAAATTTGTCAACTCAACTGAAGAGGCAATTAGACATATTAACGAACATTCCTCAAAGCACACAGATTCCATTGTCACTGAGGATGAAGCTCATGCCAATCTATTCTTAAAAGGTATTGACTCATCTGGTGTTTATTGGAACGCCTCTACCAGATTTGCCGATGGGTTCAGATATGGTTTTGGTACTGAAGTTGGTATTTCTACTTCAAAAATTCATGCCCGTGGTCCAGTTGGTCTAGATGGCTTAGTTACCTATCAATACCAAATCAGAGGTAATGGTCAAGTTGCTGGTGATTACTTAGGTGCTGGTGGTAAGAAGGCCTTCATTCACAAAGATATAGATATTAAAACTGTTAACTTGTAGAATCACATATTTTTAGTATAATATTCAGAATTTTTTATGTAAGATAATATTAATTTATTCAATACATCCATTTCATTAATCTATCAAATTGATAATTTACTAATTGAAATTGTTGTTGAATCATAACAACGTATAGAGTTAAAGTGACCCTTGCTTATTTATTAAGTTTATAAGTTATATATGTTACAAAATTTGATTTATATTCAAATATATTATGTATGACATTGTGATATGAGACAAGAATTAATTTGAAAGAAATATTCAAAGAGAACTTTAGGCAAGTTCTTGTTGGGCAGGTGTATTTTGTTCTTCTTCATATTCGATTTCAACTCTTGGACGCTTTCTCTTTGGAGTTTGTTTCTTCTTGGTAGATTCGTCATCGTTAGAATCTTCGTCACTAGAATCTTCACTTGATTCATCTGAAGAGTATGAATCAGAATCACCCAACCATTTTTCTATATCTTCAACATCGATTAATTCTTCATCACCTTCATCTTCAACATATTCAATTTCACCTTCATCGCTTTCTTCTTCTTCTTCCATATCTTCTTCTTCTTCTACTTCTTCTTCCATTTTACCCATTACCTTTTTCCAGATCTTTTCATCGACATTCAATGGTTTATCACCATATGCACCACTCTTTAATCTATCCAACAGTTCCTTTTCAATGGCTTTTTCAATTTTTGCAGCTACAAGTGCCTTTCTTTCTCTATTTTCTTCTCTTCTCTTTACCTTTGGAGCTATACCAACATAATGTCTTTCATCTTCTCGTAAAGCCAAACGTCTTTCAGTAATTGCTACCTGTGTCAATTTGGTTAATCTTTGCTTATTCTTGTGGATTAAAAATTTATTCCAATATAATAAATGTTCGTCAATTTGTTTCAATGCCTTGCTATAATTCTTGGACAATTTAATACGTTGCCAAAGTTTTGCAGGAGTATGAGCTCTTTCAGCTGTTTTCATATATAGATATAATCTGCCATCAACATTTTTGACAGTTGCATATTTAGCATTTGCCAATGGACAAGATTGTCTATTACATAAACCAGTAACGTTATATTCATTTCTACAGAAATTTTGACCTTTATCAGTCTTCAATTTGTAGGAACAAAATTGTTGATTTATCACTTGCCAAATAATTTCATCAGACATTTTATCTTAATATTTATATCCTTATAGCTACCACTTTATGAAATGTAAATTTTTTTTTCTCTTTGTATACAAAATTCGAGATCAAAAAATAAACTTCACCTAACTTATCTTTCGTTACAATCAAATAGGCAGCTAGCTATATGATCTCTATATTTGCAATTTGTAAGTAGTACAAATCCAATATCAAATACCTAAATATATACTACACTTCTTCTATCTCATCTCATCGCATCTCATCTCATCTCATCTCATCTCATCGATATTTGATCTTATTGAAAATTTTTCAATATTTTAGAATATGCTTACCCGCACATGAGTTTTTCAATGTGAAGATTAACGCTGATTATGAAAGAGACATATAAGAAATACAAAGCATTAACTAAATGAACTAACCCAACAATTCTACGAAATTATTTTGAATTATTAATTTAACTAATCTGAAGTTAATATAGATAATAAAAAGTGTCTTATTTTATAAATCATTAGTATCGTTATATGCATATGTAAAAATTAATCATTGATCAACAAAATTAAAAAGTGTATAAAATGAATTGAAGAATATTGTATTTTGTATTTTATCTTTTTGGATTGACCCTATGAATTGTCAGATGTGGCCAATATTATTTCTTCTTTTGATAAGGCTGAAATGTAAACACATTTACTCAATAATTCATGATCTACATCAAAGTCATAGAATTTTGACCATTGAACCCTTTGAATAAAATTCTTGACAATTTGGACGCCAGTGTCATGTTTGTTATAGTTTACAATTTGATTTTCTATAATCCAATCTCTCTTTTCAGAATTTAATGATAAATCTGATAAATATACGACAATAAATGGAATGCAGCCCTTTAATGGATCTACAGAATTTAATAAACTTCTGACTGTGTTATGATTTTTATCCAATGATGGAATCGATTTTAATTCCTGCCAAGTTAACAAATCACCAGGTTCGATTAAGCGCCATGTCTCTATGTATTTCTGAATAGTAGAAGAATTCAACGCAAGAATAATTTGCATCATTGAATTATAGTTTTGCATTCTTTTACAATGGTCGGCAACATGAATATATCTTTGGATTACATTTCTTTTTAATTTTGTATCAGTTGTTAAAACAATTTCAGATACTATCCAATCTACTACTAAATTGAAACGGGAGATAGCTAAATCAATGCCTGATAGGTTTTCATTTTGGATTAATAACTGGAGCCAACTAGTGGCATGTGGACCTTCTATTGTAGACTTCAAATCCAACATTTCTTGCCAATCTATTTCTAGTAAAATTTCTTTTTCGATCAGGGTTAGTTGCTTAGCTATTGAAATTGAATCGTACATCAAAATGAATGGTATATGGTTTGCCTTATTCTTAATCAATAATCTTGGATCCTCGATCTTATACTCTTTAAATAGCTCATCTATGTTTATCGGTACATTGTCAGTGAAACCGATAATATTTTTGTAATCTTCATCATTGGTAGCTTCTGGAGTAATTGGTATATTCATAATTGTTTGTCTTCTTCTTTCTAAAAATAATGACCTCCGTTTATTTGTATTGCCATTTGGATTTGATGGGATACTAGAAATGTCGAGATCTTTCACAGAATCAAGTACACCAGAGGAGTCACTTTTAATTGGTGAATTTGGATCCAGTTTTTGTTTGTAGGTTCCTTCCAGCTTCATTAATGCAACAGTTAAAGGATCGCCACTAACAGATTCGTCGGGAATATTTTTGATATCAAGTAATCCTTTGGTTTCCATTGAACTTCGGTTGCTTTCTTTCTTATCTGGTTCACTCTTTTCAATGATGCCTTCAGTCAATTTATCATCAGATTCATCTTCAATACTCTTATCATCAGCACTTAAAAATCTATTTTTTAACTGTTCCATATCTTTCATTGGAGATGCAAAATCCATGCTTTCGTTTTCAGAACTATAATTAAGATTTGAACTTGCGCTTAAAATGTGAGACCTCCTGTCAATTAAAGATTTATTGTCTACTTCAAGAAATCTTGATGATTCTTCCCTCTGTAAATTTTGAATGTTTGCTAAAGAATGTTGTGGAGACACATTTTCCTCAACAATAACAGGTCTTTGTTGTAATTCAATAGTTCCTTTAACAGACTTCATGGAGCCATCAGAACTTACTGCGTCATTAAATTTGTTGGAGTACGACCTTCTGATAGCAGATACTTCATCAAGTGCATCCAAACCAATTTCAGTTAGACGTTTTTCTATAACATCAATTTCATTTTCCAGGATGTCGTGGTTAACACATGAATTATATGAAGTTGTTGAAGGAGTATCATTGATGCCCTCAGGCTCTGGGATCGAGATTTCATCAATTTTGGATATAGACACTGAGTCTCTGCTCATTCTTGATTCTGTAAGTTCTGAAATTGAAGAAAGAGATTGAGAGCTAGTAGATAAATGTTTTGGTTTGATAATGCTAATTCTTCCACTTGCAGGAGTAACTGCTCTATTCAATGATGCAGAATCATTTGACTCTTGGCCTAAGCTTTTTGTAGACAACCTGTTGTTTGCTTTTTCCATATTGTCTGATTCTGATTTATTCCCATTTTTAGCTGGCAAATCTTCAAAAGTAAATTCTCGAAGGTTTGCCTTTGCGCCTTTTCTCTTTAATTTCTGATTATTATCATCAAACATATTTATTTTTGAAGAATTCTTTGATGCATAGCTTGATCTTTTATCACTATTTGATAATAATGAATCGTAAGATATAGTTGATGCAATTGACGCTGTATTATTACTATCGTGTTCTGAAATCTCATCAATAGGGTTGTGCAATACATGCTTTAATGGAGAACCCCCCTGTGGATCTTTTGCATTAAATAAGTTTCCTTGTACTGGGGAGAAAATATAATCATTTCCTTTTAACGAAGTACTCTTTTCGAAAATTGGTGCTGAGTTTTCAGGAAGATCTTGAAAAACTAATCTTTGAGGGCCATTACTATTTACTTTGAAGGCTTGTTCGATGTTACCATTTTCTGTAATGGATATTGTAGAATGGCGTTTAGATAAATTAATGAAATCACTTGCACTCTTGGCTCTTCTGCTTCTATAAATATTTTGAAATGGCGACGATGATTTTTGAATTTCTCTTTTTGTCAATGAATTTGACAAGGAAATCACAGAATTTGCAATTGAACTAACGGTCTGATATAGATTTAGATTGTCTAATGTGCTAAATTCCTGTACTTCCTCATTTTTACTAGTTTTTTTCTCCAGTTCTTTTGATAAAATTGGTAGGTTTGAAGTTCGTTGGTATATTTTCTTCAATAATGTATTCTCAACATTAATCAAATATTCTACTTCATCGATTGTTCTCGCACTCAATATATCAAACTTTGAATTGATAGTATTCAGAATTTGCTCATCGTCAGCTTTTGAAGTTGTGATGGAGGAGATTGAGATGACATATTTCACAAAATTATCTAGCTCAGGCTTTGAGGCATTCACACTTGATAATTTATATATATCATTCTTCTTTTCGCCGGTATCATTATGGTTAATCTTCCATTTATTTAATAATCCTCCAGGACCATCTGAAATACGTAGAATATTTGTATTTAAAGTGGATTTTGTTTCCGTATTAGTGTTCTCTCCTTTTTCTTCATCGTCATTTGAAGAAAATGATGATTCGTTTAATTCTTCAGGCAGATAAGATGAACTTAAAATGAATTCAACTTTCTTCGCTGGAGTTGGGGGTATAATTGTATCTAATGCAGGAGAATTTGGATAATCCAAGTCTTTTATTATTGTTGAAATGTTTGCAATTTTTGATAAATGTCCTATTTTTCTCTGGTTTTCAGTTTGTGCAGTTACTTCTGTATTATTACTATTGCTTTGATTTAATTCATATTTATCAATGTCTGGAATTTCCTTATCGACAGCTAAAGTATCTTTAGGGAATAGAACCATTGAGCCAGTTCTATTATTCTTCGAATTGTCATCAGTGGGTATTGTGAATATGTCAGTACTCTTAAATTGTGAAAGGACATTAGAATTTCTAAAACTTGGACTTGTCAATTCATTTAATGCATAATCACTTAGACGGCTATTACGTTTCTTGTCTTCTTCTATTTCAGAAACATCTTTTATGATGTACTTGGACCAACTAGTATCATTGCCTATCATTTCAGGCTCTTCAAAATCCAGGTTCACCCATACATTTTTGCAACTTTGTAGCCATGCCTTTTTCAGACTAATTATTGATGAAGTTATTATTTTGAATTTATCATTGTAATCAGAATTTAAAAATTTTTCAAATCTTAATCTTAACTTTAGGTCTGGTAAAAAATCAGTAACGAAATAATTCAAAATCCAATGTCTTAGTAATACAAAAGTTCTAACCAACGCTACTTCACCAATTTTTTTAGGATTATATCTTTCATCTGTATTATCGCTATTAATTTTCATAGATTCCTTAACACACCATCTAAATCTTGATATTAAAAGATCATAAAGTTCAACTGGAGAAATAAAGTTTCTATATATCAGAAAGAAATCTGATACAATAGTATAATCTACAGCATCGATAGGAGAAGAAAGATAAACAATCAATGCATATGTATCAGCTTTTATTACTGCTCTTCTTTTTCTAGTTAACGATGGCTGCTTATATGTAATCACATTTCCAGAAGGAGTTGGATAATAGTCATGTCGGCTAAATATACTTTCAGCATTCATACCTATATATTCAGCAAAGAATTGATATAATCTTTTAAAGCTTTCTATAACTATTAATCGATATTATCGCGGGTAAAAAGGTAAACCAATTAAATTACTGAATCTTAATAAATGATCCTAAGGCCTATTAATTGAAATTAGAATATAATGTTTTGATTAACCTTGAAATATCTGTATCTAAACGCCAAAGAAAAAAATAAAAATGAAAAAAAGAAGTATTAAAGAAATATCAACAAACGTCTATTAATTATAAGCTTTTAATCACTTTACCTTTAAACTCATCAGATTCTTTGTTCATGTTATTTGATTGAACAGATCAATATATCAGTAATAAAACCATATCACTATGTACGTAACACGAATTAAAGGCATATTAAATCAATTAACGATTACAATATTACACCATTTCACGTATATTTTACCATCAACAATAACATTCAAATGTCGTGTTTCCAGCTGGTTGATGATATTTAATCTAAGTGGAAAGTCTAAAAGTATCTCACCTTTCTGTATGTGTACGTAATACTAGCTGGTAACAGCTTAACATATGCCACAGGGAAGGCCAATTGAAAATATTTTCATTTACCAGTACAAAAAAATGGCGTGGGTACTCTTGCATTTGCTCTTCAAGAACACTCCAAGGGGCATCTTTGTCTGTCTTATCATAGTTTGTAATATTGATTCATGTAAACCCAATTGGAACCATTTTGTCTCTGTACGTTTGCCAGTTTGGCCATCAAAAAAGACATTCTTGAATATGAGACGTCGATTAGTCGAAGAATGTATCTTTACAAAAAGTCTAATAAATTGATATTTTTTTTGGTGTTTTTAATGTTACATGTTTATATCTGTCTAGAAGTAAAAATTATAGCCTCTCCATAAATTCTTTGTCTTGGATGTATCAAGAATACTTCATTGCATATCAGTAAATAACCTCAAACAAAATAGTCATATTTTAGTACTATGAATTTAATGACAGTAAATAGAAAAACAAGTATAACTTCGATCTTCTCAATTGGGAATTATAGAACTGAAACAGAACTAAAAAAATCTTAATTCCATACTGTCTTTGAAGTACCAATATGGGCTCAAGGCTGAAATCATTAATAGTTTCTATACTTTTATGATAACATTTGTCATTATTGTCGATCATCAAGATCAAGTCACTAGTTTGTGTGATATATTCGAAATTCCACTGAAAAGAGGTAGGTATTACCCGGTCTTATGAATCACATGACTGCAGATCTGACTTGTTTCTCACTTGATACGTTTATTTCCTAATTTGGAAGGTAATAATTTCCTTGGTTAGCGATTACTATTTTAGGAAATTTCAATTTTCGATTTCAAAATTTCAAAAAATTCATTGATGAGATAGATTGATTTGATTTAAACTGACATTATTGGTTTTAAAAAGCATATTAAAATTCGAGAACTACAACAGATACATCCCACATAGTGCTCAGATACAGGGACCTTTAATATATTTAGAGTTCTGTATCGTTTGTTTGGTTGAACTTTGTGTTATTTGGACTGCAATAGAAAAATATTTTGAAACTTTTTTTTTATAGTGTCTGATTAAAGCCAACTTGACTTTACTGATCTTCCAGATAGATTTGATTATATTCCATTACTGAGTAGTGGTGTAAAGAATATTAGAGTCGTTTCATTAAGATTACGTTCTGATCTATACCCAAGGTGCGTGTGTGTTTTATTTTTTATTCTGGCTCCTTTGTTGAAACAAGCTTTGGTTATCCATCAGAAGGAAAATAGAAAGCAAAATAGGATTGAAATTAGAGTTCCATCATTGCATATGCATATAGTGGAATAAATGGTATTTAAAAATTTTATTCCATTAGGGAACATATCTAAAGGTATAGATGAAAGTTTGGACAATTTGAACCCTGAAAATAATCCATTAAAGTTATGTCTAGAAATTGAATCACCCCCTTGTGTTCTTTATGGAGCTGCAACTGACTCTTCTGGTGCTATTCTAAATGGTATTTTAAAGCTAAAAGTAAGGGATCCTTATTATGACTTTTCTTTGGCACAAGATTCCGTATCTCCTGTACAAAGTAATATCGGCTCAAGGTTATCGACTACTCTAACTACTACCTTCTCAAATTTAGCACTTTCAAGTAATGAGCTTTCTCCTAATCCTTCAAGTAATACAAACGTGCAATTATTATCTGGTTATACTAAAATTGCAGTAGACTCTGTTACTCTGAAATTAATTCAAATTGTTCATTTCCATAAAACTTTTGTACCTGATACTCAAGCAATCCAAACTTGTAAAAATTGTACAACAAAAACTACAAAGATTAAGAATTGGGATATACAAAAAAATACAGTAGAAATGTCAGTTGGTTCTTATGTTTTCCCTTTTTCATGTTTGATTCCAGGATCAGTTCCAGCCACAACAACTTTAGGTTCTACTGCGGAAACTGAGATTAAGTATGAATTAATTGCAACAGTTAAATATAAAGATCCTCGTAGAGATCTTCCAACATTTGGGAAAGTGCAGTCTCTTAAACTAAGTATGCCAATCGCTGTTACTAGAAGTATTTTGCGTGGTCCTGATAAAAATTCTTTGAGAGTATTTCCACCAACAGAACTAACTGCCACAGCTGTTCTACCGAATGTGGTCTATCCTAAATCTTCATTCCCTTTAGAGATGAAGATTGATGGGATATCTTCTGGTGACAGAAGGTGGAGGATGCGTAAATTAAACTGGAGAATCGAAGAAACTACAAGAATTAGAAGCTATGCTTGTGATTCGCACAAACATGATTTAAAACAAAAAGAAGAAGAAGTAAAACAAAAAGAGGAAGAAAGAAGCAAAAAACCTCAGGTTCCAATTAAAAGATATGGTGATATTGGTCCACAGATAAAAGTTGCTGTTGGAACACCTGATAATACCCCTATAAGGCGGCGCCACAGAAATAATGTTACTAGTCAACCCGTAAATCAGAACGCAGAGACAGAAGCTAGTCAAACAAGGCGGCAAATACAAGGAGATCAAGATGATGATGATGATGACAACACTACAGAATTTGTCCACCCAAGTGACCATGCTCTGCGGCAAGAAATTGAACAACAACAAGAACGTGTAAGAGAAAAACAGATTGAGCAGGAATTGAAAAATGATACAACTTTATTCACAGAAGAAGTAAGGATTGTTTCAAGAGGTGAAATGAAGAATGGTTGGAAAACTGATTTTGAAAATAACGGTCACGTTGAATTGGTAACTGATATAGATTGTATGTCATTAGATTCGGGTGTGTCAAATCCAGTGAAATATGTTTCAACTATGAAGCAAAGAGAAATTCAGTCAAAACATGTTGGAAATATTGCATGTGATATGCAAGATCCAGTATTAGGTATATATGTTAATCATATGTTAGCTGTAGAGATCGTTGTTGCCGAAGAAATGTTACAATACGCAAATGGTCAACCACTTCGATCTAGCAAAAAATCAGATACAAGCTCTTCTACTAATGTCAATCATACGGATCAACGATTAGCTGAATTGTCGCCGATGTTTGCAAATAGAAATTCGCAAAAAAGTCAACCTGTTAATGAGGAAGATATTTCACCAGTAGATTCTGGAAGTAGTATTGGTTCTGGTGTTAGATTGAGAAGTAACTCACCAGGTATGAAAATTGTTAGTATACCAACTGGAGCAGCACGTGTATTAAGAATGCAATTTAAGATCACACTTACTGAAAGATCTGGTCTTGGTATATCATGGGATGACGAGGTTCCCCCAATATATCAAGATATCAAAACTCTTTCTCCTCCAACATATTATGAGATTACTACATTGACAACGAATAATGGAAACTCCAAGAATGGATATGATGCACCTAGTTATGTGATTCCAGAAGTACGAATCGAATCACCGAGCTCCGTTGCTCAAATGATTAAGCCACCGCCTCAAGCAAGGCATCATAATTCCCCATATAGAAACAATAACAATAGTCAACCGCCAGCATTTAGTGCAGTAGTGAGAGAAAGTACGCCACCTATACCATATTCTACTAATTAATAGCATTTAAATAGGCATGTTTTTAATCCGAAATTTATATTTATAGAATCCTCATATAAGACTAATTTTTTAAATATATAATCAGATTATTATTAATTCTTTTTAAAACATTAACTAATTCTAATGAAAATCAGAATTGCGTAAATAAAGAATCGCATCTATACAACTACACATTATATTTCACATTACAGTACTAATTTAAGTATTAAAAGTGATTTCAAAAATGTTTAAATCTTGGAAGATGTTTATTGAAAAACTGAAACTCCCTTAAACATAAGATATATTTTAACGATATCATATAAACAGAAGCATGAATATGTGAATGTGTTAAATCAAATTTCTATTTATGAAAGCAATTATTCAGCTCCATGAACTTTCCAAGTTGGCAACCAGTCCAAATACTTAAAATTTTCTGATGGACCTACCATACCAAAAGAGATTGGGGAGAATAAAGCAAAACAGCCAATAACGGATGCCATCATTATGATGTATAAAATCCATCTTACTTTTTGGTTTTTGATATAGGAGGTACCAGTCTCGATGAAATAGGTTAAAACTAATAAAGCAAAGTACAATGCTGGTAAATAATGATGTAAGTAAGTGACTCTACCCATAATGATGAATGGGGTGTAGTGTAAACCCCAACCCAACATTGGATAGATACCACCGATAATGAAGTTATTTCTTGAAGTTTTATCTTGTAAATCTTCATATTGTCTTTGCCATCTGATAGCCAAAATTACAAAAGTTAGCATGAAAGCTAAGACGGCTAAAGTGGAAGCCCAGGTAGTTATTGGAGTACCTAATAAGTAATATTTGGCGAATTCGTCAGACCAGCCACCTAATCTCAAACCTGTGTATAAAGTTGGCCATTCCCACCATGAGGAAGAAATGTGATCATGCTTTTCTGGATCTGGGATCAAGGCATTGTTGGTAGCCATCATGGCCAAGTTTAAGTGAATGAAGTTAGTTAAAAATCTTGGTCTTGGGAATTTGAAATCCTCTGGGACAGGAGGCAATTGATCGTTTGAATGAGATTCAACGTTCCATAGGATTCGTTTATCCTTTTTGGAGACGTTCTTCATACAAGTCATTTCCAATTGTCTGAAACCCCATTCTGGCAAGTGTTGGCCAGATTGAGCCAAATAGCAGCCTAATTCTTTATGTCTCAAACGGAAAGAAGTCGTCAATGGGTGGATTCTAGTAGCATTTTCGGAACCTACTTGTTCGGCAATTTCTAAGACCCAGTAATCGAAATGATCACCTTGATCTAATTGACCATAACCTGCAACTTCGTAGTCTAATTTTGTAACTGGAGCAGGAATTTGGTGAGAATGTAAGTTTTTACCGGATAAAAGATGAACCAATCTGTAGGTGGCGCCGTCTTCGACGAATTCGATTTCAGAAGAAGGATTTTCAAAGTTGTAAGATGGGAATTCTCTAACTTTGTCGAAATACCAATTATTATTGTCGTCTTGGTAACCGTAACCAGTAATTTGTTGTTGATTAGAACCTTCTGGGTA